CTGTCAACTTCTCGCAGTGCACTGACAAACATCTCTAGTCCCAATGTCCGCAAGCGTTATTTTTATCTCCATTGTCTTCGCCTTTTGGACTTACCCGCGCACAATTTTCTGGTCTGCATACAAGCTGTCAGAAACATGGATTCTTGTCACTTTCGGCTTCTATGCACTCTATCTCAAGATTGGAGAGTGGAAGAAAGACTGGACAACGAGCGATAAGATGCTGAAAAGACTTGAAAAGAAGGTGGAGGGCATGAGGAGCCAAGTCAAAGATCAACGTCGCGCCGAGCGCGAGAGGGCAGATGCCGAAGTATTGAAAAAAGCGGAGGAGACGGACGGCGGTCCAACAAAGTCTGAGTATTGCTTGCCGGAAAAGGCAGGTGATGTTTGAGCCTTCTCTGTATTGCTATAGAAAGCCTAGAATCACTTAATTTCCAATAATATTCACTTGCTTTTCGTGACGTTTACCGAGCGAGGTATCCGGGGGCTCCAGAGATGACTTGCGATTACACGACCTCGACATGCTATAATGCATTTCCGTGTCAAGTCGCATGTGACGAAGCATTAGCAATAGTGTCACATTTTATAAGCCAATTTCATCTTGGGGACCGGGCTCTTGCGTACGAAAGCAAACTTGAAAACACCACGCATTGGAACAGCACGATATGTTGCGACGAAATCTGCAATGACGATCGATAATTTGCTGCTCTTCCCAAATTTGTATCACACAGAAATTTGAGGTCTTCGATGGCGTCTCGATTTTGGCCCCGAGGAGTGAAAGTGCCACGCTTCTGAGAACCCCCGTAAGGTGCATGCCGTACCAGGGCAATATGCCTCCCCGACGCCCTCACTCCCTGAATCACGGTCACCTCGACGTATCACGGCATTCATCACTATATACACACCGATAGACTGGGACATGTGATTTTGGCAGAAGGACCGTTGGTGCGTTAAGCTCGCCAGAGGAGACAGTAGAGATGGAGCCGTTGATGGAAGCGGCAATGGCGGTGGTGGTCGTTCCATCAATGGTATGAGAACATTTGTGGCATTAAGAAAGCTTTCAAAGGCGTCCGCGCCTCGAGGTCGAAACGTACGACCACCCAAAGAAAAAGTGCGGTAACAGCTATTGGTTCAGGAAAGTAGAATTTCTCTGATAGGGTCGCTTCAAACTACCTGAGGGGCAGATGTATTGGCCAACGCCGCAAGCTGCATAAGAACACAGGCTCAGTACTGCAGCCTGATTGTTCAACCCCCTCAATATTTGCCAAGTTCACCCGGACATCTCCATTCCCGGAACCCCTCCTTAGTCCTGGTGCAGAAACCCTCAACTGGGCGACTTAATCATGGAGGCTGCTGGCCTAGCTTCAAGTATCCTGACTTTCATCGACATTTGTTACAAGGTAGCCAAAAGAACTTACGAAATTTACGAATCCGCGACGGGTGCCACAGCCGAAAACATACACGTAGGCAATGTCATCATCGACCTCGAAAAGGCTGCAGCCGAGTTGAGTCCAGTCTCCAGAGGACATGATGCGGAGTTGGCAAAGTTGTCAGAGCAGTGCCGAACCTTGTCAGACGATCTCTTGAAGCTTCTTGCAGGGCTAGAGAGGCGCGAGAAAAGGTTGTTCCAGAGTTTCAAGGCCGCGATTGCCGGTGCGCGCAAACAGAAAGAGGTCGCTTCGATTGAGAAAAGACTGGATCAGTACCGTCAACAGATTATTCTTCACTTGACACTCAATATTTAGTGAGTTAGCTCAGGAACCCAGCTAGAGAGATGCATGACTGACCATTTTGCAGCCGAGACCAATCGCCCATCAAGTCTCACCTCGAGCGAATACGAGACGATAGCAGTCGACTTGAAAATGAGCACGCTGCAAAGTTGGATGCACTACACAATCAACTCTCCGAAGTACTAGAGCGTATGGGAACTACTAGCTCGAGACCGTTGCGGAATCAGCAAGTTTCAAACGATCGTGACTTCATAAAGACACTCTCGCCTCCTGTCAACGAACTTGACCAAGACGAATTTTCCGGAGAACCCTCCCACAAGACGCATACAGCCAACGAACCATCTACACACCACATTCAGTACCATGCGATTGTGGGCAATGATCTCAGAGATCTCGCAAGACTTCTCCATGATTTCAAATCGTGTGCCAGCACTCTCGAGGCAGAAAATAAGATACTTGACAGTTTGTACTTCGACGCGATATTTCAAAGAGAGAACAGCGTCTCCGATGCTGTATCAAACACTTTTGCTTGGATAGTCGATGGTTTCCCGCCATCCACCACTTCAGAATCAATCGACACAAACGGCTCAAATTCTCCGAGAGAGTCTCGACGATCTTCCTTTTCCTCCTCGCCCAAATCAGAAGAGGAAGAGCTAGTAGATCACCATCGCATAGCTTTGGAGAAGCAGCTACTTGAAGAGACTCGAAATCGGGAGGCTATGTCTCAGAGCCTTCATTCCTTCTTGGCAGATGAAGGAGAGGTTTTCTTCGTCTGCGGGAAAGCGGGCAGTGGAAAGTCAACGCTCATGAAATTCCTTAGCCATCACTCCAGCGTAAGAGAAACGCTGGTGGATTGCGCCAGCAAACGAAAGCTTGTGATCGTCAACACATTCTTCTGGAGCTCTGGCGATCCTCTTCAGAAGTCTCTTGAGGGATTCTATCGCGCTGTTCTCTTTCATACTTTAAGGCAGTGCCCTGAACTACTTGAAACGGTCATTCCAACTCTTACTGGGATAGGCTTCTCCCCTCTTTCAGCAGCCATATCACTCTCAGAGTTAGAGGCGGCCTTCAGTCGTTTGCAGTCATTAGAGAACGCCGCTAGCTATCTCTTCTGTTACTTCATTGATGGGCTAGACGAATATGAGGGAGATCCTCTTGATCAAAAACATCTTGCAGAGATGCTAAGAAAATGGTCACGGAAAGATAATGTCAAGATAATATGCTCAGCCCGGCCATCGACCGTTACCCTCGACATCTTTGGCGCCAGCAAGACATTCTTTGAGCTTCATGAGTTGACCAAGGCCGACATACACGCCTTTGCCGAGGATCAAATTGAAAAGTATCTGAGCGAGCCTACTTTCGAAAAAGTTCAAGCGGTATGTCTGGGTATGATTCACAAAATTGTGGAACGCGCCGACGGTGTGTTTCTCTGGGCAAGCCTCGTCGTCAGGGCTTTGTTGAATGCGGCTCTAGAACACGAAGACGAGTTTTCTATCCAAAAGAGGCTGGAAGAGTGTCCCAAGAGTCTCAATCAACTTTTTCATCAGATGCTTGACAGCATTGATCCATCTCCATCTGTGAGATTGCGGTCGACGATTCTCTTGCAGCTTTTAGCAAGCGAGCCCAGAATGCGTCTCAACGCCCTCGCGCTCTCGTGGCTGGACGAATCTCGTACTTTGCGATCGCTAATGGGTCTACCCAGGCGCTCAAATCATGACAAGTACACCGAGACTCGGATTGAAACAGAGCACAGGAAGGCACGAAGCCAGTTGCACACCTTGACAAGGGGCTTGGTTGAGATGGAGGCAAGTAAACATATGGCATACCTCGAAAGTACCAAACACGGCTATGGGTCCTACTACCAAATCTACTTTTGCTTTTTCCATCGGACCGTCAGAGACTTTCTTGCGAAAGAATGGTTGCCAAGCCTAGTCCAACGGCCGCTCATAACAGTCGAGCAAGAGGCAGCAGTAAAGGCCGAGCTTCTGATAGCAGAGATTAGACATTGTCCTGAACCGCATCTCCATTTGTCGGAACATGCTTATCCTGGTTGTTACTTCAAGGTGTTAGACTTTTTTGTCTCTTTTCGATTCACTCCAATTCAGCGTCTAGATTTTTTTACTGTACTGGTTCAGGAATTGGCTGTTGTTGTCTGCGGCAATCAACAACACTCCCCACCTTTGTTATCACAAAACATTCTAATTCCTAAGTCTAAGCAACAAGAGAAAATGGGTCCAACGGTGTGGAAACCCTTTTCGTTTCTGCACTTCGCTGCGACTTATGGCATGGCTCAGTACGTCAAGACAACTGTGGCGAGTATGGACAATCCGACTATTGTTGATACATCTGATGTCAACCTTCTGATGACGGCCGCGTACTCGTCTGTTCCAGCCTTGGTAGATTTCTTGCTTCAAGAGGGCTGGCATCCGAATGAGCTTGTCACAACGTGTGGTCTAAAATCGTCTCTGAAGGGCGAAAGATGCTTTGTATCTGTTTGGGAGGCCTTCTTGTACCGTGTCGCATGTTTTCTGAGCGCCTTTTGCGCTGACGAGTCTCGAAATCCTGTTTGGAAAGTCAGGAACAGAGAGAGTGTGGAGCACTTGAACGATACGTTTTCAATGGTCGAAAGCTTTCTTCAGTCTGGGGCAAATGCCGAAGTGGAGATTCTTGTTTGCAATGGCACCACTTATTCGGAACAAGATGAAGAAGCCGAGACACTGACTAGGCCAGCTTATAGGGTGTCTTTTTCCCAAATTCTTCAGTTGGCTCAACCGAAAAATGCGGTGGCACTCCAAACCCTTTTAGTGAAGCCGAAGCGGAATGTTCTCAGCAGAATATTGGGTCGTACGACAAGGCGGAACCCTAAAAGTCGAATCGAACTCGCAAAATACCCTATGGCTACTATGGAATATTTAATGAAAGAGAAGTGGGAAGCAAAAGGGCTTGTTTCTCTAGCGGCGAATCGTGTTTACCTCGAATTTGCGTATACTGTTTTCATAGCTAATTCTCATTGAATACATCTTCTTTTCGAGAGACTATATATAAGTAGTAATTAAGGATGTTTTCCCCATGAAATCGGGACTGCTAGTGCAGGCAGCACTTGCGCTCGTCAATCATATTCCTGCGACAAATTTGAATTCATCGTTCTCCAAGGAGATTCATGGTCTTGTATTACTTTGCTATATGTAGTGTAAACAGACATTTGGAAGAAAGACTATCTAGAGACATTCCTGCTTTATTTCGATCTCATCCACACAATGCCTGTACGCTCAACTAGAAGACTTGGCCCTTGGTTTGTTGCACCTTCGCAACATTGACATTCTTCCACAAAAACACACAAGCCAGCGCCAAAGGCATGAAAGCCGCACCGCAAATAACCATATGCCGCTGAACATCTCCATAAGCATGCACAATACCAGCGCGAGCGGGAGTTCCCCAAGCATACGAAAGCTGAACCTTAATGTCCCCGTAAATCGTAGCAGCATCAGCCTTATTGTCCTCGGGAAGGTACTTGATCAAGAAGTTGAGGAACTCATTCGTCCAGATGGCACCCGAGATGGCGCGGCCGATGGACCGACCGACCGAGGTGGCCAGGCCGATGAGAGCCAGCATTACGCTGACTTCGTTGTGTTTGACCACGGACATGACGGCGAGCTGCTCGCAGATGATGATTGTGCCGGCGGATACGGCCTTGAGGATCTGGCACATGATGATGTAGCCGATGTAGGTGTCGGGGGTGCGGAAGTGGATGAGGAGGCCGGTGGAGAGGCAGGCGACGGGGATGGCGGCGCAGGCGATCCACTTGTAGTGGTTGGTCTGGCGGATGAGACTAGGAATGTGGGTTAGCCTTGGAGCTCATCGGGAGAAGGTGTGGCATGGCTTACAGTCCTACGATGGGTCCCCAAGTGCAGGAAGCAATCGTGTAGATGTTGCCGATGAAACCAGCCTGGCTAATGCTCTGGCGGTGCACGACCTGGAGGTACGATGAGAAGAAAGAATCCCATGAGCTAGTTAAGAACGTCAGCGATCGTCTCCGTGGACTAATTTGAGAGATGTTGGGTTAATTACCTGAAACTTAACCCGATGACACCAGCCACGGCGGCCGATCCTAGGATAGTCCGGTCTTTGAGGTTGACCCATGGAACAAGAGGAGTAGTTGCATACTTCTTCTCCCAGAAACCAAAGGCAACGAGACAGAAGATTCCAAGGATAATCATGGCAATGATGTGGCCGGCAGCCCACTTCTTGGCTGTGTATGAGACCAAGCTGAACGGCAGCAGGAATAAGGAGAAGCCGAACATGATGAGGAACATGCCGACGACTGAATGTTGTTAACGTACATGCCAAGGTACCGGCGTCAATGGAGTTGCCTCGAACTTACCATCAAATTCTGTGCAGTAGAAGAAGAATGACTCCTTCAGAGACCGGCCGCTCTGCTTCAACTCCGGTCCTTGGCCTAGCTTGTACGCCTTCCTGAGGTTCCACCACAACATAATCGTAATCATGGAACCAAAGGCAGGGAAGATGATAGCAAAAGAGCCAAACGCCCATCGGAAGCTGCTATGGTCGTTGAACAGCTGCGCAACAATAGGTCCGGCGAATGCATTGGCAATGTACGCGGTCGAGTTGAGCGTGTAGATAATCATTCGGTTCCGGATAGACGTGGTGTCGGAGATGAGGACAGTGTGGATGTAGCCAATACCACCACTTCCAACAGCCCAAAAGACCTAGTTCGATAGTGTAAGTAACAACTCGGGTAGACAAGAAATCAGAGGACGAACCTGTGCAGCGGCGTAGGTCTCCACGTTGCGGCAGACAGCCATCAAGATCAGACCGAAACAGCAGAGGAGATGGGCCAACATGTAGCCTTCCATGCGACCAAAGATGTTGAGGATCTTGGCGAGGGGCAACTGCGAGACACCGCTAGCCAGGCCTGAGACGATACCGGTGGTGGCGGTTAGGCCGTGACGGCGGAACGATGAAGTAACGTAGGGCCCGAGGTTGCTGTTCATCTGCTGTTGCATTGAATGGGTGTAAGACGTCACCCAGATCCTAGGAAGAGCATCTGCGTCAGTCCGGGGATCATTCAAGTCCTGCTGTCTTGGATCACACTTACAAGATGTAGGTAAAGATGAGGGCTCTCCAGGTCCAAGCCGTGGTGATAGCCTGGATCTTCTTGACACCATTCTGGGCCTCCTCTTTCTCGCTCTCGACATCATTGTCAGAGCTGATCTCCGTCGTGGTCTTGCCTGGTGTCTTTTCGTCGAGGCTCTGAGTCTGGCTCTCGGCTGCGGCCTGCTGGACGAAAGGGGAGCTCATGATGGGCAACTCTTGTCACGGGACACTGATTTGGGTTGAGATGCGGGTATGTCTTGAGACGGAAGAACCAAAGTCTCAACAGTGGAAATGTCAAGAAGGGCCCCCGGGTTATGTAGTCGACTTATCATGCAGAACAAAGTACAAAGTACAAAGTAGGAAACGATTTTCCATTGACAAGAAGCTTAACTCGAAAGGACGAGCAGAAATGTTACGTAAATCCACTCTACCAAACCACGGTTACCACATGCAGCGGAACTGGCAGGCCGAACGAGACCATCTTTTCAAGGGTCCTTTTCCGTTCAACATGACTGTCGGGCACGACAAAATTCCGGCATCGGACGAGATCGTACGGCACAGCGAGTGCAAAAATTTCACATTGGCCGTGGCCGGGCGTCTTGGTGTCCCTCTCGAAGAGCGTGTCCAGTCCCCGAGTTTGCACGAACTCGATCCACACGTCACGACTTGGCACTGGGCAGCATCTTTTTGTTGGCTGATGGTTGGCTAACCGGGCGAATATCTCGCCGCGAATGGATGTCCTAAAGCGGTAGCTACGAGCCCTGCTTCTTTAGATGTGGTTCCGCCAAGTGGGACACAAGACGTCGTATTAAAGACTTTTTGCGCTGCCATCTGCACTAGAAGCGACATCGCGTAGCCTAGACTCTCAGAGCGGTTCCCGCGCTGGCCAACGAACGGGCGGGATGTTGGGTCCTCTGAAGGTCGTATCGCGCCGGCTTGGCGCGCGTGCAGTTGGACGGTTGGCAACGGATCAGATAAAAAAAACTTTGATGCTTGGGCCGCATGCAAGAGCGGATCTGATAAGATGAAAACGGGTCACCATCGGGGGCATCCCGGGATCTGGGTGGCCCCAAATTCTAACCGAGGGCATCCTTGGGATCCATTCTTGAAAGGCTCATGGGGTGACAATGTGACATTTCCTGCAACGTTGTTCTGCGGTTGGCTTCATCATCTATTGGTCATGGAAGTAAGCTTATACCTGGGTGGATTCACGTGAAATGTTCGAAAGTGCTGAGAAGTTGACCGAGTAGGTCATGCAGCCTGGCACCACCTTGGGTCTCGTCGTGATGCCACAAAATATTTTGCAGTGCGTTTTGCCATGGCTTAGAGGAAGAAACATCTCTCTCAGGCTGACCCTTTCCGATGTACTCATTTGATGCGCTGCCTTCATTGCGCTAGATAGGTCTTTGTGGATATTCCATAGCTCAAGATCCAAGCACTTAGGACCCCTCGATGTTAGGATGGGGCAGAACAGCATCGGCTCCACTTACTCCGTAGACTGATAGGCAGCGATAGCGTAAGGCAAGGTTATGGGCAGACCGTTCCATATGATGCTTCGTCTTTTCGGAATTATATACCAAGCATTCCCAAACTCGGCCGAGTTGAATCTAGACCCCACACCTCTTTGGATAGATATAGTAGGTTGGTTTATCGCCACAACACTTCAGATACCATGGGAGTTGAAGGAAGGATTTCCGTGGAGCTGGTCCTCGAGGCTACAGCGTCGGAATCCCAATCCCGGACACAGTCTCTTTGAGTCGTGTCTGTTTGTCGCGTCCACCCACTAGTCGCATTATCTGTTGCGGGAGTGGAATCATTCAAATATGTTGATGGGTGCCTTTCACTCTTCTCATCATGACTCTGTCGGCAAAACTTCACCATACTAAGTATGAATGAGGCCAAGCGTCACATAAGCTCTGGGTAACTCCGAGCACATCAGACTGCAAAGACATCAAAAAGTCAACATCTGAGCCCAGCCATCAATTTTTATCTGGTATCCTAGACTTGGCCTTGCAAATGTCTTGCCGATGACCACCGCGGAGGCTTCAAATGGCTTGAAGGATCGTTGACCAAGAGACTTGTGTGATGGTGGTCGCAACAAAGTTCGCTTTGCCGATGGATGCGCTAAGCCACTTTTGGGACCCTGAAAATCCCAGGCAACAACAAGTGGAGCCCCTTTTTGTCACTTTCAACCTTCGTCTTACCTCTCACCCATCTCCGACCGCTCAAGCTCGACAGTCAAGGTCAGAGGCCAAGGTAAGCGAGCGAGCAAATCTCTGTTGAATACGAACATATCAATTCTGACATTCAGCCAGAAATCTTGGCGCGAATTGAGCTGAGGCGCCGAGCCTGCCGTTGGACCCAAGCACCCATCAGGACATACGGAGTACCCCCGCGTAGATCCTCCCACCATCACAGTACCCATCCGGTAAACCATGGCCAACATCTTCCGCCAAGCCATCTCATGGCTCTACACCACCCTCGCCGTCTCCATCCTCGGATCATGGACCCTCCTCATCCTCGGCGGCGTCGCCCTCACAGCCGTAGACTCGAACCCAGGCCTCCTTCAGCTCATCGCCTTCCCCTCTCTCCTCACCTTCCTCGTCGCAAAGCTCATCGTCGCCGCCTCGCCCTCGACAGCACTCCAGCAAACACCAACGAACCCCCGGAATGCCATCGTCGCGACTCCTGCCGGCGGCAACCTAGCAACCTGGCTCGCAACAGCAGACTACGGCTCCCCCCACGGCGCCCTCGTCCTCTTCCTCTTCTCCGTAACCTGGCTCCTGCAGCTCGCGCGCGTAGTCTTCGCCCTCTTTCTCGTCGTGCTGATGGGTGCCTTCTTCGTCTTTGCGTCCTCGCTCGACGCAGCGGATAAAGAAGACAAAGAAGCCGGCGGCGAGGGTCTCTTCTCCGACGACGACGGCGCGCGCAAGAACTTCACCACCGCGCTCGCCGAGTTTGAGGAGAAGGCGGGGATCGGACTGGGCGATTACCTCGTTGAAAACCCCTGGGTCGTGTTCCAGGTGCTTGTGGCGCTTTGGGGCATGATGAATCTGTTGCTCATGTATCTTTCCGTGTACGCTTTTGGGGCGTTGAAGAAGGTTTTGACGACGCCGCTTGAGGCTTGGGCGAGGGGTGGTCAGGAGGTGGCGGCGCCTGCTACTGTGGCTGGGGGGACTCCAGCGGCGGCAGCGGCAGTGGCAGCGGCAGCGGAGACCAGGGCCCCAGTTGTTGTCGTCGAGAAGGAAAGGGTGGTTGTGCCGGCTGAGGGCCGACCTGCGAACTGATTGCTGACGAGGCAAGGACGAGTAGGGGATGAGAGTCATTTCAGCGAGTAAGGGAGGAAAAGGGAGGACGATTCATATCTGGATCTGTAGCCTCCCGTCGCCAAGCCGGGGCGGCGAACAAGCTCGGGCCGGGACTGGGTGCGTGGGGACTTCGGACTCAGCTCCGGGTGGGTCTCTCCGGCGCCTGCCCGCTCAAGTTCCTCCGCCTCCGGGGAGGCAAACGGGATAGGACAGGGAAGGAAGCAAACCACATGTACCTGCCAGGCTACCACCAATGGAATACGATGGAATTCTTCACCCCGTGACCCCCAAACAGACCCGCGTCCGTCCAAGAGCTACCTGCCCTCTGCGCTCAGTATCTCTCAATCAACCAAGGCAACCGTGGTGCAGTGGTTTAGCATTCCAGCCTCCCATTCCGGGAACCAGCTGGGGACCTGGGTTCGAACCCCGGCGGTTGCAATTATTCCTTTTTGAATTATCGTGTTAATTTTATTCTAGTACGTCGACTTCCTCCTTTTGCTCCGGGACCGCAGGACCGTCCGTACCTATCTACTTATTATTATAACTATCCCCGTCTAGCATTCACGGGCATTAGGAAATAAACAAGACGAGAATAAAAAAAGAGTTCACCACCGGTGTGGCTACATCTCTGGCGCTCATACTGGGATTCGAACTCGGGTACTCGCTAAGCCTGTCGTCGAGTAGGCTGGTTGGCGTATAGAATGTTGACCTTAAACCACTCCACCACCCAGCCAGTTTGACCTGACCCGTCGACCTAGACAGGCGCCTGCTGGCTGGTGACAGGAACGGGATTGAAGGGGGTTATATGCCCTTCGCGCTGGGATGTGAGGAAGGTGCATCCTAGACGCATCCGCCTGGCAAGATGGCTTCCCTCGAAGCCTTCCACATTATCCCAAGAATGCCCACCAGTGTCAGCGTTCGTAGACTGGATCAAGACCTTGAAGGATTCAATCAAAACAGTTAATCAATGTTCTCAAAATCCAGTCTCATAAAGACGGTGAGAGATGCCATCCAGCTATGCTTTCTGAAGTGGTCATCTTCAGTGCTCAGGCATCACTCGACTACCAGGTAAGCATGGCAGTGCAATGCGACGGTCTTGCGATCACCCTTCATTTGGCCATCTACGTGAGCCTCAATCCTCGAGCTGAATGAGAAAGACGATCTCAACCTCAATTAGCATTAAATCAATGACATCTGGCTCTACTCTCTCCGTGCTCTATTTGTTCCGTATGCCAAAAGTCCTTCCAGCAAAGTAAACCCAATCCACGCCATGCATCGCAAAGCATACAAATCCATCCTTTCACTTCCACCTCATATAGTAACCCCTTCCAGTATCTGACAAGCCTCGTTAATCTTCTCCGTTATCCCATCACAGTTCGTCCAAGCAAACATATCAAAATGACTCCCCTCCGTCAACAACACCTCCTCCACAAACCCTGGACAATACCCATCCCACCCAAGCTTCTCATCCCCACGATACACATCCACGGAACTGATCCCCTCGATCGGCATCGGAACATGCTCCTTGGCCTTGACGAGGACAGCCCGCGGCGGCCTCTCCCACATGACTTCGGCCGTCTCCTTCTCCTCCTTGGAAACGTAAAAGTCCTTCTCCACGTCCGCTTCATCCGCCGTCGGCCCTTCCCTTTCGCCTCCTCCATCGGAACTATCGGCATCAGCATAGCCAACGGCCTTGGGAACCTCCACCTCCGTCTCACTCGCAGCCCCGCACCTCGGCATCTTCCAAACCCTCACAACCTGCCCGGCCATCTTCATCGCCCTCTTCGCAAGCCTCACGTTCTTCGGCTCCTCCGTCTCCAGTTTCTCATCCTCGACAAACCTCCCAATCTTGACCTCCGAGCCCTTGGGCCAGACGGGATACACACTATCCACGAA